CGGGTCCCGGGGCCTGGGCTCCGGACGCCGAACGCCGCTAATATCTTGGCATCGAGGTGCGGGGGTCACGGTGTTCATGCAGCCACGCAGATCTAGCTGTTGCAGTTCGCAGTTCCAGAAAGTGCGCCCGGCTTTTTCTGGCGACCTTGATCTCAACATCCAAACTCTTCGCCGTTTTCTCCAGCGCTTGCGCCGTCCTGCTCCGTGCCGCCTTTTGCTTTCGAGCACTTGCGCTGTCTTCGCTTATGTTGCCAGCGCTTGCGCCGTCATGCCCGGCCCGCGCCCGCGCCGTCGATCGCCATTCCAGTCAGCGCATAGCGCTGCGGGATGGGGGTAGATATGAACGCGGAGGCGATTGGCTTCAAGCTGTTTGGCTCGAGCCTCGAGGCTTTTGTGGGGGGGGGGGGGCGGGCCATAGATCTGTGCATGGAGCTTCGCCCCCACCACGGCGCGACAGGGCTGCCGCTGACCAGGGCCCGCCGGGGCGAGAGAGCTTCGCGACAGCGTCTCGACTCCGAGCGGCGGCATTCGTCTCGGTGTTGTCGTCGAAGGTAAGGCCCATCAGTGCGCCCCACGCGGCAGATAACAGCACCTCCGCGGCAGATGCGGGTGTCGCATATGATGATATGGCAACACTGTTCCAGTCGCTGGTCCTCGTGGGCATCAGGAAGGATCGGAAGCCTGAGGCCCCAGCGCAGGATTTCGAGGCTGTGGCCGATTAGTTCATGGATGCCGAATGGATTGTCACGCGCGAGAAAAAGGCCATTGTCATGTGCATTCGTGATCGACTGCTCTGGCGCATGTTCGCGTTGATTGTTCGAGCCACGTCAGAGCCAATCAAGCGCATTCTCAGGGGCATGCTTCTGCTCTTCACTGAGGACTAAAGGCCGTCCAGCGGGCGCAATACCAATATCGAAACGCACGAGTCGCTCGAGCTCGCTTGGACTGCATACGCACAGAAGGGGGAAGCCCACCTTGAGTACATCGATGGCCTGGGCACTTCGCCGCGAGAGTTCGAGCAGCAGCACGCTGCGATGCACGTCCTACCGTGCAGAAGCGGCGCAACACCAGTTCAAAACAGGGTGTCCTTCAGGTGCAAGTTGAGCGTCCTTCAGCCATGCCACAACATCCTGGCCGGCGCCGTGCCGGGCTTCTAGCACATTATCAAGTGGGTGAAGAACCAGTCGTCCTGGCCCACGTGCAGAGGAGCCAAAGCAGGGTGTCCCACGCCATGATCGAGAGCTTTGCAAGCACGTTGAAATGCGGGTGCGCTGCAATGAAAATGGTGGGTCCCCCCGAGATGCAGCAGGCCTGGCGTCGACGCCGGTGCCTCACTTGCAAGGCGGCAGCCGTGATCAGGTGGCTCAGTGCTTCGCAGCTGAGCTCCAGCGGCAGAGCAAGCGGCAGAATCGCATGCTGGAGATGAGGATGCGGGCCGTGTGCGACGGCGAGCGAGCGCTTGCGCTGCGACTCTGAGCTGGAGGGCCTCCTTCCAGCAGCGCGCACGGTCGCGGGCCGCCCCGCGTCGAGGACCGTCGTGCCGCGGGGTGGCCATCGCGACTTTCCCCACGGCCAGCTCGAAGGAGCTCCGAATCCATCCAGGGTGATCGCCGACAGAGAAGCAGGAGGGGAAACAGACGCACAGACACAATTCATCGACGATTCCCCAGAAGAGATGGGAAAATATGGGAAGTGGAAGGGAGTACGTCAGAGCCCCGAATCATCAGGGGTAACTCGGGTCAGGGGTAACTCGGGTTCCTTTTTCGGGAAGCCAAACCCGAGTTACCCCGGACCCGAGTTACCCCGGATAACTCGGGCGCCCAAGTACGGAAACCCAGAAAAAAAGAGAACATATAGTGCCCCTGGGCCCCATCCCGAGAGGCCCATGTCCGCGACGCGACCCCAAAGGGTCCAGTTCCAGCATCAGCAGACCACGCTGTCACCGCGGCTGCCGCCGCCCGACCACGCGGAGCAAACGGCCTGTTTGACGTAACTCGGGCATGTCCCTCTACAGGGAGAGTATCTAAGCATAGATAGTAAACAAAAACATCGTCGGGGTCGATGTTTTGACCATTGTTTATTTTATCTGGCGTTTTTTTAACAATTTTTTTTCGGTCGTCCAAAACCCGCCTGTAGGGGGAGAGGCCCGAGTTCATGTTGACCCTGGGGTTACGTCGGGCGCGTCCCGCTGCAAGGGGATTTTCGACGGACAAAAAAATATCCCCAAAATACCCCCAACATGCAAACAAATATTCAACAAATAGTCCCTAGACTGTTTTTGTAATATTTGTTTGGTTTTTTTGGGGGTATGTCTTGTTTTTCGTCGAAAATCCCCCTGTAGGGGGACAGGCCCGACTCAACCCTGGGGTCGCGAAGGAGAAGATCGAGGCGAATACTGCGCAGGCGAAGGCGGAGCTCGAAGCCGAAGCTGCCGATCCGAGCGCGAGTGGGTCGACGAAGGGACAGCCGCCCAGGCAGGCCAGACCGCACGGCGGCGGCCCAGCCGAGGCTGAGCCTCCAGCCGGCGCCGCGCCTCCAGTCGCGGCTGCGCTTCCAGCCATGCGCCCAAGGCTCAGCCTATCTGAATCCAAGCTGAAGTCGGGCACGTCCCTCTACAGGAGGAGCATTCGAAACTTGTTAAAAAAGGGGGGCGATTTGTCTACATGTGTTCACCATGTCTGATAGTTTTTTGATTTGTTTTTCATTTGTCGCCCGAAATCCGCCTGTAGGGGGACACGCCCGACTTGAGCCTACCTGCATCTTAAGGCCGCGCCTCCGGCCAAGGGCCATCCGCCGGCCCGGGCCCAGCCAGCTGGCCAGCACAGCCTCGTGGAGTCAAGCGGTCACTGCAGGCCGAGTGCTCCAGGACCAGCGCGCAGGCTCGCGCCGAGAAGCGCGGCGGCGGGAGTCGCCACAATGGGTTCAGGTGGGGGTGTTTGGGGGAGTGGGGGGGGTCAGGAGGAAAAAAACACACAGACACAATGGATCGTCGATTCCCGAGAAAGTATGGGAACATATGGGAAGTGGGGGGAAGACAGAAACCCAGAAAATGTAGGAAAATACTGGGGAATCTGGTTATGTGTGTGTGTGTATTTATTTGTGTGTCCCTGGGCCCCTTCAGAGGTGCGAAGCGTGCGCGGCGGCGAGACCGGAGCGAAGTACGGGGCCACTGTGAATGAGGGGTTGCCGCGGGCTGCCCATGATTCGGCTCGCCATGGGTCGTCTGTCTGCAGCTTCTCAGACAGGCAGCCTGATCGGGCGGGCGGCGCCTCGCCGCACAGGGGGTGCGGCCTCGGCAGAGGCGCGCAACAAAAAAAATGAAAAACGAGAGCGCCGTGCGTGCGCTGTTCGTCGACGACGTCCTGTCCTTGCCGTCGTCGTCATCGCCATCGACGTCCTTGCTGCCACCATCCTCGTCGCCATCGCCAGCGTCGTCGTCGTCGTCGTCGTCGCGCCGTCATTCGCCCACGCGCTCGCTGGCCCAGGCGTTTCGGACCCCAGACGCCGAGGAGGAGGAGGAGAAGGAGGAGGCGGAGGAGGAGGAGGAGGAAGACCCACCTGGGCCCAGGGCCCCAGGCGACCGAAAGGCCCTGCTTGTTTCGGGCCCCTTATTGCTCCAGCTCGAAGCACGCAGCACAAAGAGGTGCGGTCTAGACGGTCTAGGGTTTCGGACGTGGTCTTTTGAAGGGGCCCTGGGACACACAAATAAATACACACAAATAAAATGATTCCCTAATTTTCCTTATATTTTCTAGGTTTTTTTGTCGTCCCGCCCAATTCCCATACTTTCCAATATTTTCCTGGGACTCGACGATCCATTGTGTCTG